GGCGTCGCCGCGCTCGGCTGGTAGATGTGGTACTCGAGCATGTCCTCGAGGCCCTGCGGATCACTGGCGGTGCCCGGCTGCCGGTTGAGGGCGGCCTGCACGGCAGGCTTGAGGGCGGCCCAGCCCGTCGAGGCGGCCGAGGCGCCCGGGCCGTATGCGCCGCCCGCCAGGTCCGATAGGCGCAGCTTCGAGTAAGGCACGGTCAGACCGCCTGGCGGGCCGGTCTGGAAGCGGCGGTAGGCTTCCTGGGCCGCCCTCTCGTACCACTTGAGCGCCACGGTGCATGTGGGCTTGGCGCCGATGCCCGCACGGTAGCGGAAGCCGAGGGCCATCTGCGAGGGCGCATCGCCGTCCTCGGCGGCCTGGCGGTAGTGGATCAGCGCCTTGGCCTGGCGTAGGCCGTCGTCGCGCTTGAGGCGGGCAAAGGCCTCGCGGCGGTGCTGCCAGAGGTCGCGCAGCTCCCGCTCATCCATCGACGACTCGAGGGTGGCCAGCTCAGAGGCCGGCGGTGGCAGCCACTGCCGCCGCACCGTCGACTCCCACCCGCTTCCCTCGAGGAAGGCGAGGCGGGCGTGGGCGCTGGCGTTGCCGGCCCTGCTGTGACCGTCTGCGTCGCGGCCGAGGTCGACGAGGCGTTGGTAGCATGCGCGGGCGCGCGCAATGTTGGGCAGGGCGCCGTGGGTGCCCCACAGCGAGTGCTCTGCCAGCACCCACAACGCATCGGCGTGGGCCTGCAGACGGGGTGGCGTGGGGGCGGCGGCGGTGCCGGCATCGGTCTCGGCATTCTGGCCGCTCGCCTGGCCAAAGAGGTCGGCGAGGACGTCGGCGGTGCTGTCTGCAGAGTAGGCCTCGTGCTGCCAGTCGATGCCGTTGCGGCCCCATGCGGCCCACTCGAGCAGCTCGATGGCCTCGGTGCGCCTGCGCTCCATGTCGGCCTTGAGCGACTCGCGGCGCTGGCGTTTGGCCTGCGACCAGGGCGCCTCGACCCGGGGCCACCATGCGCTGCCGCGGCCGTCCGGCTTGGCCTCTAGCCGCTGCCGGATTGCCGAGGGGATCGCGGGGTGCTGCAAGAGAGAGCGCGCTGGCCGAACGGCCTGGCCGAGATGTTCGAGGCTGACGTCCTGCAAAAAGGGCGCGGCGCCCTCGTCGCCATCCTCGCTCTCCCAGCCGGCGTGAAAGGGACCAAACATGACCGAGTCCCACGGGCTGTCTTCGCTGTTGAGCGGGACGGCACCTGGGCCAAGCGACTCCCAATCGGGCCAGAGGGCAATGGGACGGGCACCCTGCCAGCGGAGCTCGTCGCGGGTGGCACCTATTGGTGGGCCAAGCCATTTCAGATTGGCCTCGGCGGTACGGAAGCTGGAGCGGGCGTTCGAGAGCGAGAGGGCAGTATCTGCCGCGGCCGGATAGGGTGACCGCAGGCCGAGGGTGTCTGCGAGGACGAGGAGGAGGCGATAGATTGTGCCGATGGGGGTCCAGCCGAGAATGATGTCCCAAGCGCTGATGCGGGGCGTGGCCGCGGTGGTGCGGCCATCGTGCTGGCTGGTTGTGTGCTTCTGACGGGGTGACGTTGGCGGCGCCTGGGCGGACTCGTCGGCAGGCTGTTTTTTGGTGGACGACGTGCGCCCTGGCTTCGGCTTGCTCTTTATGGTGGAGCGCAGCAATGCGAGGGCACGTTCGTAGGCCTGCTGAGGGGTGTGCAATGGTGCTTTCGATGAGGCCGAGGTCGGATGCGCAGCCGCGAGCCCGTCTGGCTGTGCGTGGTGCGGCGATGGGTGCAGAGGAGCGCCTGATGGATCGACGTGAGCCTGCCTGTCTGCTGCGGCCTGAGCGTGCGCCGAGGCGGTTGTGGCCGCGGTTGCGAGCGCGAGCGCCGTCACCAGTGCGATCGCAGTAGTGATCGCCACAGTACGTCGATGACGGGGCGGCATGACGGGCAATGTTTTGGTGCTACGAGATGGGGTGCGAGGGATGGGTGTTTGCGGTGCGATGGTCCGACCGAGACGACGGTGGCTGCGACGACGATGGGGGTCAGATGAGCTAGGACAGCATGTTGGTCGACGCCGAGGAGTTGGGCTGTCCGTCGATGGCCTTGAGCGCAGAGAGAGAGAGAGAGAGGGAGAGTGGAAGAGAGAGTGGCGGTGGTGGGGGCCACAGAAGAACGGCCAACGAGGCGGTGGGCAGCGTTGCCAGCGCGAAGGTCGCATGGCCTGGCCGGCCAGCACACACACAGAGAGGCCCTTGCACCGGCCCCCATCCCCTCCACTGCGCTCCACGTCACGGTCGCTCTGTCGCACGGCAAACCGGGGTCCATCCCGCCCTCGCCCCTTTTCGGAACCGCCGAAGCCACACCAGCGGCCCATCCGGTCCGGATCCGCTCCTCGCTCATCGACGACGACGACGACGACGATGGAGCGAGGCACTCGGATCGTCCGTGTGATGGCCTGCCTCGGCGACGGGAAGCGGCCCGCGCCGACGCGAGCATGTCGCCCCGCCCTCGACCACGGCCGCCATGGCACAGCAGCAGGTGCCAGGTGCTGGCTCGCGGGCCGAGGCCGACGTCGGTTATGATGCACCTCGGCCTCGCCGTCGCCGAGGTGAGCCAAGTCGGCAATACAAAATCGCCTTGCGCAGCTGCGTGCGATTAGAATCTGGATGCAATTGAATTGAAATGGGGGCCGCCATCCTCGACAGCTGCCTTGTTGGCACGCCCGGCTGCACCTCCGCCACCTGTTCCCTCCCCACCACGACGTCTTTCCTCGATTCCTCCTCTGTCGTGCTCCTCTGCCAATACACGCTTCGTCACTACTTCAATCTGCCTCGCCTTCTGTCTGCAAGGCGAAACTCGTGCGCTTGCATGCCGTCCATTGGCATCGTACTCCTGCTCTGTCCGCCTGGCCCACGCGCACGCTGCGTGCGCCGCGCCCTCACTTCGTAGGTCGGCCTTCGAAACGCACCCTCTCTGCTGCACTGACAACCAGCCACACAACGTCTACCCCATCGTTCGTGCAGTCCCAACCTCCGCCCGCAGGCCATGAGGCTCTACGCGGCCGCTGTTACTCGTCTTCTGCCTCGCACCTCCATGGCTGCGCCATCTCCGACAATAGCCTCGACTCTGGGCCCTCGGCCTTGCCCCTTCCCGTCCTCGTTTGCGCGCCCCCCTCGAAAGCAGCGCGCAGCACAGCGCTACAGTTTCTGAATTATCCGTCGCCGCTGAGGACGGCCCTCACCTACCCTTGCCTCTTCTACCCTAGGCCATGATTGCCTGCGCCCTCACCCTGCCGACGGGCATGGCGAGGCCCCATACACGTGGTCCTTTGCATGGCTCATCAGCGCCAGCAGGTCCCACCCGCCAGTCGCACGGCGTCGGACCTGCACGCCGTGCGCTTGCACCATGTCGGTCGTCCGCGCCCTGACGTACCGCTCGCCGAGCAGAGGGATCGTCGGCCGGGCTGCCAAGCATAGCCCTTCCCGAGCTCCGAGGCGGTCCTTCCGTCGGGCTCTTCCACTCTACCACGCCATCATCGAGGCGCTCCTACGGCGACGATGATGGCTCATACTTAACAAGAGAAGGCGATGTCTTTGAGCCCGTCACGGCTCCTTCCCCTCTTCCACATCGACCCCCTCGCTCGCTCTCCCCACCATCCCCTCCCCCTCCCCTTCCCCCCCGCGCCCGGTATTCGTTTCGCCGGCTGGTCTTCCCCTTCCCACCCCATCCTCCCCTCCCTCTCACTCTCTGTCTTCGGCCCCATTCTTCCTTCTTTCCTTCTTTGCCCAATTCCTGCTCTCGTTCACAGTCGTTTGCCAACAGATCACTGGCTCGTCAGCCCTCTCCACGCTCGTTCTTTCTTCAAGCACTCGACGCCAGAATCTTTCCACATCCTTGCACAGCTTAACGGCTCATCGACTCCACCACCATTTTTCCTCGTCCAGCTCAGACACGCACCACGATGAAGCTGCTTCGGGCTTCGGCCATCTCGCTGCTCGTATCTCTGCTCCTCACATCCGCGCCTCGCGGTCACGGTGCTGGCGGACACGAAGAGATTCATGGTCTCGCTCTCGCCTCGGTCATCTCTCCCGCTCACCGCGCCTCGCGGTCAGACGCTGTTGATGCTGCGTCGACCGTTGATGGCCAGGACACTGCCTCGAACCTCCAGCGCGGCCACGACGGCGACGAGGCCGCCAAGCCCGCCACTCTCTACCGCCTCGTCAAGCGCGTCTTCTCTCGCGAGCGCGATGACCAGCGACACGACAAGCGCTGGATCTCGGACTTCACCGCACCTTCTGGCTTCCGCTTCAGCTGGGGCATCGACGGCTCGCGATGCTCGTACGGCACCTCGTCCGGACAGTACCTCACCCGCAGCACCATTGTCGGATCCAACTCGATCGGCCAGACCGAGGTCAACCGCTGCGCTGCCCGCTGCCGCAATGTGCCCGGCTGCGCCTTCTTCCACCCGATCCAGATGACTGGCGGCTCAGAGGGCAACGTCATCTGCGCCCTGTACACGGACAAGCAGGGCAAGGCCAGCGCCACGTTCGGCGAGGGCACTCGTATGAACGGCGGCAGGGTCGTTTTCTCGTACGGCTTCTCAAAGGGCGCCCTGCCGGTCAGCTCTTCGTCGACGGCCAGCAGCGCCAGGACCACGTCGACTAGCACCACGTCTACGGCGTCGAGGACCACGTCGAGGTCGACCACCAGCACGAGGCCCACGACGTCGACTTCAACGAGGAGCTCGACGACCTCTGCCTCGACCAGGAGCTCAACCACGACGACCTCGACCAGGACCTCGTCCAGCTCCTCGACCACCTCTTCCTCTCGTCCGGCCACTACGTCTCGCTCGACCGCCTCGTCCACCTCGTCGTCGGTTGCTACGTCACGGTCCACGACTTCAACGCGCGCCGCCACCACCTCCAGCTCCACTTCGACTCGAACCACAACCTCGACCTCAACCACGTCGACGAGCGCCAGGCCCACGACGACGACGTCGACGTCGACCACCAGCTCATCGATCCGGCCGTCTTCGACCTCGACCACCACCTCCACCTCCAGCAGCGCGAGGTCGTCGAGCTCGTCTGCCCCGGCGACTTCTACCTCGTCCGCCTCGACCTCGTCCATTCCCACCGCGCCCGCGACGACGAGCACCGTCACCACGGGAACCACGACGCTCACCGAGACGGCCACCTCGACCACGACGTCGACCGTGACGCCGGCGCCCACGTACAGCCTGATGAGCAAGTACTCGGGCCGCAGGTTCTACGACAACTTCTACTTTTTCACGTATGATGACCCCACGCACGGCAAGATCGAGTACGTCGGCCGCGACGAGGCCAAGTCGCTCGGCCTGATCAGCATGTCTGGCAGCCAGGTCTACATGGGCTATGCCAAGACGCTCATCTGGCCGCCGACGTCGAGCGTCGAGCCGTCGACGTCCACGACGGCGACGGACTCTACGTCGACTTCGGTGTCACAGCTCTCTGTGGCGACGACGGCGACGACGGCCGTCTCATCTTCCTCGACCTCGATTTCGGCCGCTTCGTCACGGTCCTCATCGAGCGCGTCTGCTTCCCGGACGACGTCGTCCATCTCGATCCCCAGCTCGACCTCGACGTCGAGCTCCCGCTCCTCGTCGTCATCGTCGTCTTCTGGCTCGGCGTCGAGCTCGACAAGGACCCTGGTGCCCCGCCAGGCTACATCATCGTCGCCGTCGTCGTCGTCGACCACACCCGTCGTGACGGTGGCCTCGCAGACGGTGACGACGACCGATGCCACCGTGACAGCCACCACCACGTCGACCAGCACCGGCGACTCGGCGACTCCGACGACGACGACGACGACGGCGGTGCCGACGCCGACGATCCCGGCGTACAAGGCGGTGCGCGTCAGCTCGTACGACTCGTTCAGCGAGGGCATCTTTGTGCTCGACGCGAGCCACATGCCCGTCGGCTGCGGGCTGTGGCCTGCGTTCTGGACGGTACCCACCAACCCGGTGGGGTCGTGGCCCAACGGCGGCGAGATTGACATTGTCGAGGGCGTGCACGACTACTCGGTCAACACCTACTCGATCCACACGGCGCGCGGGTGCACGGTGAATGCGACGACCAACACGCAGCTGGGCACGTATGCGCTGTCGAACCTGACGATGGCCACCAACTGCGCCAGCTTCGATACGGGCAACGAGGGGTGCGGCGTGCGCAGCAACCGGCGCGACGACTACGGCAAGCGGTACAATGCCAACGGCGGCGGCATCCACGCCATGGTGTGGGACACAGACACGGGCATCCGATCCTACTTTTGGCCGCGGTCCAGCATGCCCGCCGACCTGGCCTCGGACCAGCCCGACCCCTCGACGTGGGGCACGCCCATCGCCTCGTGGCCCGCCACCAACTGCGACATGGAAACCTTCTTTGCTTCGCACGTGGCTGTATTCACCAACACGGCCTGCGGAGATTGGGCTGGCAACGACGGCCTGTGGCACACGGCGCTGACCAGCCTCGGCCAGAAGACGAGCTGCGCCGCCCAGACCGGCTACAGCTCCTGCCGCGCCTACATGGAGAGCGGCGAGGTCGACATGAGCAGGGCCTACTGGCTCATCAACAGTGTCAAGATCTACCAGACCGAGCGCAGGTGGTGAGCCGGGCGTCGTCGGCTGCTCCTCTCTCCTCTCCCATTCTCGCCTCGTCTCGTCTCGCCTCGCCTCGTCTCGTCTCGCCTCGCCTCGTCTCGTCTCGTTTCTTCGCGTCTCGTCTCACGTCGGCCGCCGTCGCAGGATCGTTGTTCGGCCGTCTTCCCCCTTCCCTTCCCTCGCCCATCTGCCTTCTCCGTCTGTCTCATCGGACGTCCTCGGAACAGTTTAGAACCCAGCCTCCCCGCGCCCCGCCCCGCTCCGTCCCCTAAAGCTGTATCATACCGTGCTACTCCCTGAAACCGCGTTGCGCCTTCCCCAACCATGGCGCCAATCCTCGTCTCTTCCAAACCTGAGCGGCATACGGCGAGTCGGCTCCTGCTGCACGAGGCGACAAAAGGGCTCCCAGTGGAACCGCGACGTCAGATCGAGTAAATGGTCCGATAAAGGGAAAAAGAAACTGCCTCCTAGCCGATTTGAACGACTGACCTCGTCATGGCGATTCCACGAGGAACCGGAGGCGACCTGGAGTACTAGTGACGCGCTCTACCACTGAGCTAAGGAGGCTCTTCTGGTGGCGGGGGAAGAATGTTGCATAAATATAAGGAAAAACAGATCTTCCTATGCACGAGCCCTCCTCCACACGGCGTGGTGTTTCTTCCCGAGTCACCTGTAGCCAGCCTGACGGGGCGAGGACTGTCGCTACCACCACCATCACCACCACCACCTCCGACCCGGACAACGCCAGTATGACGGTCCCACAATCGCACACCAACGGCGCGACGCCGACGGTCGTCAACGGCACGGGCAACACGCCGGTGCGCTCGCTGCTGGACACGGACCTGTACAAGCTGACGATGCAGCAGGCGGTGCTGCGGCACTACCCGGACAGCCACGTCGCGTGTAAGTCGACCTCGTCCGGGCGCACAGGAGGGAGGTAGATGGTCTGATGGAACGACCCTTCTTGCTACGACGGACTACTCGCTGCCGCGCAGACAAGTTTACGAATCGGTCCAAGGACATGCGCTTCACCCGCCAGTGCGTCGATCGCATCAATGTCTACATCCAGGGTGAGCAACGGGGACGAGGTGCTCCACGACTCCCTCGCGAATGCTTTCTGACCTTCTCTCGCCCGTGCACGCCGCGCAGCGCTGTCCGACCTGCGCCTGACGGCCGACGAACGGAGCTGGCTGCAGGCCAAGTGCCCCTTCCTGCAGCCCAAGTACCTCGAGTACCTCTCCGGATACCGCTTCCGACCCTCTGAGCAGGTCAAGGCCACCTTTGTTCCCTCGAACGACGACCCGGAGGCGGGCGAGCTGTCGCTGCTCGTCGAGGGCCGGTGGTGTGAGGTCATCCTCTACGAGGTCCCCCTCATGGCCATCGTCAGCGAGTCCTACTTTGAGACCGTGGATCAGGCCTGGGATCTCCAGGGCCAGCACAGTGAGTGGCCCTGGATCCACATCTTCCCTCCGCGCGGCTTCGTCGCCGACTGACTCTCGAGCCCCTGCCCTCGTCAAACTCTGTTCCATGGCCGCCGCGCAGCTCAAGCCTTCAACAAGGCGCGCCTGCTCTGCAGTAACGGGATCCGCTTCTCCGAGTTTGGCTCGCGCCGGCGCAGGTCGTACGCGACGCACAAGACGTGCGTGCAAGGGCTCATCGCCGGCGAGGCTACCGCGCTCGCCTCGAACCCGGCCAAGCCGGGCAAGCTGCTGGGCACGTCCAACGTCCACTTTGCGCACCTGTTCGACCTCGCACCCGTCGGCACCGTGGCGCACGAGTGGACGATGGCTGTCGCGGCGCTCGAGGGGTACGAGCACTCGAACCTGCTGGCGCAGCAAAAGTGGGACGCCGTCTACTCGCCGCCCAACTTTGTCGCGTCGACGCCGGCGCACGACCTCACCATCGCCCTGACCGACACGTTTTCGACGAGGGTGTTTTTCGACGACCTCCTCTCGTCCGAGGCCGGCAGGGAGATTGCGCGGCGCTGGAGGGGGCTGCGGCAGGATAGCGGCGACAGCAAGGCCTTTGCGCGCAAGGCCGTCGAGGTCTACGAGCAGCTCGGCGTCGACCCCAAGCGCAAGCTCGTCATGTTCTCCGACAGCCTCGACGTCGACCGCTGCATCGACCTGGCGCGCTACGCCGACGACATCGGCATCGGCCACGGCTTCGGCGTCGGCACCAACTTCACCAACGACTTTCGCAGGCTCGCCTCGCCCAGCGACCGCTGCGACGGCGCCGACGTCGAGGGCGAGCCCAGGCAGGGCGAAAAGTCGCCCGCGCTCAACATCGTCATCAAGCTCGACCAGATCGACAACCGGCCCGCCGTCAAGATCAGCGACGACCTCAGCAAGAACTGCGGCGACCCCGACGAGGTCCGGTGAGTAGCCGCGGTGGCGGTGTGTGGGGCTTGGGCCGCTGCGTCCTTGCGCTGCGACCCCCTCTCTGTCCCTGTGTCGACCGCTGACGACCGCCGCTTCTTGCGCATCCACATCTGACGTCCCCGCACCGCCACCGCACAGCATGGTCAAGCGCCGCTTCGGCCTCGAAGGAGCAGAGCAAGTCGAGGATGCGTAGCCTAGCCCCTGACATCTGATCCCGGCACCGTCCGAAAGACTATCTTAGCTACCTCGCTGTCACGATACCCATCGATCGCTGGAAGGACCCCTCACCTGGACCACGCCATCCCGAGATTGCCCGAGCCGCTCGAGCTGAGCGGCAGCGTGTGGAAGAGGCAGGGAAGCCAGGATGCCTTGCGGAGGTCTGGCGGCGGCGAGCTGAGCCACGAGGGCGCGCCATGTCCTTGCGGCCGAGAGGAAACGACGTCAGGGCCGGACTATCGTGGGCGCTGCTGATGCCCGGGCTTGGCTGGCTGGCTCGGGTCGGGCGAGCCTTCGAGCTCTGCCTGAATTTGTCTTTGGAGCGAGCTGTGGTGTGACGACAGCGGGCTGCCTCGGTTCAACGCACGCGCCCTCACGCCCTGCCTACCTCATGCCTGGCCTGGCCTGGCCTGGCCGTGCCGTCCCAGGGCCTGCTTCTAGCTGGTCTGTTTGCAAACCCGACGCAGCAGGGTGACTACGCTACCGCCAGGCCTGGCCGCCTAGGCTTGCCCTGGCCTCCTCGTCTGGCTGCGCTCGCAACGCCACACGCAAAAAGGAGCGCCAGGCCAGGCCAGGCCAGGCCGCCTGGCTCCATCTCTGCCTGCTGGCCTGCCCTGCCCGTTGGCCTAGCCTAGCCTCATATCCTCTGTCAAAGGCAGGCAGGCAGGATGAGCCCGACGCCCGCGCCAGAGAGACGCCGCACGTCGTCGTCGTCGTCGTAGGCCATAAGCTGCGGCAGGCGAGGCTGGCGAGGCGAGGCCAGACGATGAACGCTAAGGGAGGCCTTTGCCAGCAGGTGCCTGCCTGCCCTCCTCACTACTACTCTCTCTCTCTTTCTAGACGCCGGGGCGATGGTGCGATAATCACGTAGGGACAGGCCACAGACAGGCAGGCTAGGTCGAGCAAGGAGGCCCAACGATGGCCGAGCAGCCACCGGTAGGCCAGGCCAAGCCAAGCACGCCTTGGAGTCAGCGCTGGCCGCCGAGACTCTCGCGCCGCATGTCCAAGTCCACGGCCACGCCGAGGCGGAGCGAACGAGCGAACGAGCGAACGAGCGAGCGAGCGAGCGGGCAGGCAGGCGGGGTCGAGGCGGCAGGCGCGAGGGCGACGACCACGCTGCCTCCGGGCCGAAGCCGGGTTGGTTGCCTTGTTCTGCGCGCGCTTCTTCGGCTGGGTGGCGAGCCGCTGCCTCCTCCG